AAATCACCCCTCACATGCGTCGCATCGTTGTTTCCCTATCGATATGTCCTCCCGCAGCTCCAGTTCTTCTCCGGACATTCTTGGGCCACCTGGCGACGCCGAATATTTGATTTCCTCCCCGTTTGTCCCCTTCTCCGGTCGCCAAAGCTTCATGTCGCCCGCCAACTTTCGCCTCCTGCAAAGCCCGCGGACGGCGAAGGGAAAAAGGCGGTCGCGCGTGAGTCTGAGCCCTTCGAAAAATGCCCACTCCATCAAGTTCAACGACGTTGTGCTACCTGCTTCCCCGACGACGAAACTGAACGGCCAGCGCGGTGGAATGTCTCCCGATAAGGGTCCGTCCGACGGGAATGTCAGTCCGTGGAGGATTCGGGTGACGCTCGAGGCAACACAAGATGAAGAGACGAACCAAGGCAGTCCTTCGCGAAAACGTTTGAAGCCGTCAACGACAACGATGAAAGTACCCCTCAAAGACGATACAGAACAAACCCCCCGAAGACGCAGAGGTCGCCCAAGGAAGTCAGACATTTGGGTGCAGGATGCGACACCACGCTCAGGTAGTCCAGGACATACACCGGGCCCGGGGCATACTCCAGGTCCTGGGGGAACAGGTCAGAAGAGAAAACGAGGCCGTCCGAGGAAAAGCGCACCAGCGCTCGATGTGGTAGAATTAAGCGAACAGCAGGTGGAGAATCATGAGAATGAACAAGAGGCTCCGATAGAGCCCGAGCAGAGATGGAGTCCTTTGAATCTTGCAGCAGAACCGGGATCTGACGATGAAATTGGGGGGGATCAAGGACTCGAATTCAATGACGACTTTGGTTATGACGACCGCATGGAACTACCTGATTCCGCTGCCCGCGATGGGAATGCTCCCCGAGTGACATTTGAGCAAACCTTTGAGACTCCGAATGTTGACCATGTCGACCAAGGGCTTACGGAAAACGACGAGTATAATCTACACTCAACACCATCCAAAATGCCATCCCCGACCCGCGATACCCCGATAATCTCGCCAGCGAACACATTGCATGCCGGCCGCACCCCGAGACCATCGCGCCTTTATCCTACACCAACCTCATCTTCTGCAGCAGAAGAAGATAAGATAGAGCAGGTTCAGAAAACGAGTGCAGCTTATGATAGGGATCACCATGAAAGCGGGGCGCAGCCCAGCGCAGATCCGACGGAGGAACACAGGGAGTTTGACTCTATAATGGAAAGTGAAGGATTCAGCATGGTCTCGCTGGATACATTGCCATCAGCTAAACAACATGAGATCAAGAGTGCGAGCCACTCCCAAGCCGCCAAGAGTTCTCTGAAGCCTTTCCTAGAACGGGAATCAAATGGCGTCTTGAAGCGAAGAGCCTCGACGATTCTGAATCAACAAGAGGATGATTCTGCCCGGCAGGCACGGTCGGACTCGAAGCAGCGAAAGCAGTCACCAGCCCAGCTTTTCACCCAGTCAAATCAGGACAATGCCCACTTAGACCGTCCATCATCCCAAGATAGGCTTGAACCTTCGAGAGGCATGCCCGGCTTAACGTCGGTGGCATCTGAGCCGACTTCTACTAGACAAAAGCGGGGGCCGTTGACCAGGTTCGTCAGAATAGTTCATGCAGGGTTAGCTCTCGAAGGGCCTCTACGAAACTCAGAAGAGGGGCAAACTTCGTACCAGTCAAACTCCAGAAGGCCCAGCATCTCGGATGATCGAAATTCCATGCTGGACACTCCTAGGAAAAGGCTCGAACACGTTTTTGGTGACTTAACCCCACAAGTACAACAAGAGCTGCAGGCAGGCTTGGCATTAGGACAGGAACTCGCGAAGAGGCGGCTCGAGAGAGAAATGGAACAACGCAGACAAACGGAGTTGGAGGAGGTGACTGCAGAAAACACCGCTCGGGAAACCAGGGAATGGAGTGGATCCAGTTCACCACATCAAACACTGCCTGAGACCACAGACTATGGCACACCGGGCACGTTTATGAAACGGCGGATGGAAGAGTGGCAACGGGAAAGGGAAGCTATCAGTCGAGAGATCCAAATGGCAAATTCTAGCCAGGTCATCGTCATCGACAGTGACGATAATGATCAGTCGAATTTGCAAAATGGCACGTATGAAGGCGGCGACGAGATTGATCACGCGGCGGAACCCGTTCAAGACGATCAAGATGACGACGCCCACGTAGAGGCAGACCGTTTAGACGAGGAAGACGAGGATGATGGCTACGAAGATATTTGGCAGCAAGAAGCTCGCAGTCAAGGCAACCAGTCAGATCACTCTTCACTGCTCGAGGATGACCAGGATGGTGAGCACCTTAGGCAGGATGAGTCTAGCCCATGGAAGAGTGGCTGGACTCCTGCTCGAAATCAGAATGGCAAGATCTTATCACCGGCTCATTGGACAAACGAGCGGGAGACTGTGCCATTCTTGGGCCGATCGAGGGTCAAACAATTAAAGGAGCAAGAAGTTGACTTGACAGCTCTGTACCGTGCCCAGGACACACCAAAGCGTCGCCACTACTACTATGGGAAAAGCAGTCCGCCGAGTAGTGCAATACGAGGCTCTGTAGGCCGCTCGCCAGCTTCTGTGGTACAAGAGGGGCTCTATGAGCATGATTTCAACCAGGATCAACAGTCAGAGGACTACGTGGAGTCCAGCCCTCGCCGGGATTCGGAAGATGAAACATTCCAGATCGATCCGACAACCAGATTGGAGATGGCTAGACAACGCCAAGAGCCTGGGATGGAAGCCAACGAGATTGGGGGAATGCCAGATGCCGTTACATCCGAGAGACAAACTGCTCCAGATTTGGGAGACATCACGCCGGAACGTCCACGGCATGCAAGCCCTGGCAGTCAAGCATCATCCTGGTTCCAGAAAATCACTAATTTCACGCCTGGTTGGCTCAGAGCACCGAAGTCTGAACAGCAAGGGCGGGGTTCTGAGCATCTCTCGGGCGACGGAGATGAGGGACCGCCCGCCGTTGAGTCAACACATGATAGATATGATAATGATGATTACGGCGATGATGAAGTCAACTGGGGAGACTTAGGGGAAACCCCACGACCTATTCGATTTGGCGATCCAGAAGATGAGAAACAGAGTTTCGCTAGTTCCGAGTCTTTCCAGGTTGTCGACGATGCTCACGCTTCACTGGACGAGAAGGGTGACAGAGAAGAAATAGTGGAGGGGCAGGCTTCACGAGAGCAATCACCCTCTTCCTTCTCCCTGTACTTCTCCGATGATCACTATCGCTTGCTGCATCGCCTCTATCGCTCGGCAAAACTGTATCCTGAGCGCTTCCCTTACCATCCGGCGCCTGGTCGCTCCGATATGATTGGCGACTGGATCTGGACCTCGGATGGAGTCTACGGAGTACCAGTCACAGAGCTTCAATTTGGCATTGTTGATAGATTTGCACAGCAGCTATCCCAAGCCGATTCGAAGGCCGGCGGAACGGGTCAGATTCCTTGGACGGAAGCTGACGTTCACAGAAGATTGATCAGTATCATAATCGGGGAACAAGTCAGACAAGACCAGAGGGAGAGGAGGCTCCACGAGGATCGACTGAGGGAAGAGTATTCGCGAAGCAGGGACGCAGCGTACGAGGCGTGGCGCATATGACTTCTCAAACCTGCACGTCGCTTGGCTCCTGCCGCCTGGACTCGGCACATTACATCTATTTTTTGAGTACAGACTTTGTTGGCACACAAAGTTAGCACACGTTGTAACGACTTATATTCCTGCTTTTTTTTTTTTTTTTTTTTTTTTTTTTTTTTTTTTCATTGAAAGGATACGTTGTTTCGGGTCTTCACGGGTGGCGAACCGGCGGATTCGATCTTGGTGGTCATTGGGTGGCAGGATCACTTTACGTTTTGGCCTTACTATGTTCTTGTACAGCATCTATTTTGTCTACGTACTATTCCCCCTCTGTTTCATTTGTCTTGGACTCTCCACACCCGATTGGATCTTCATGAGTCAGCTGCCAAACAAGTTTTATTCTGTAGTCGATTACAGTATATGTTGGAATGGAACGCAACGACACCATTGGTGTATGCAGCACATATGGTTCCCTACTTTGGCAAAAGAGTGCACCTGTCAGCCAGGTTCGGAACACAAATGTTTGGCCTAAAATTTGATTCGCAGAATTGACTTTCTAGTGCCCCTGTATAGACCAATGAATACAGTACAGTTGACCGATCTTCATGGAACGTGTCGTGCTGCGGCATCGGTGTTTGCTCTGTGACGTCCGCAACGTCCGTCAAGTTGGTGACTTTCTGAATCTTTCGACCCTATTCCTTTATGGGTCGTGTCCAAGTAACGCTCCTACTGCCACGTTTACTTCTCCACGGGGTGGCTACATAGTAGTTTCACGGAAATAGTAGCAGTCACAGAAGGGGGGTTGACCTGCCACCTGCCAACTACTTACTACTTACTCCCAGGTCTGACGAACTCGAGGTACATCATCGATCCTCATTGGCCCCAACATTGTAGTTCTGACTGCACGGTGCAGGCATCCTGGAGGGCCAGCCAAGCGGAAGAACGCGACATACGAGCCTAGCCCCATTTTAGAAGCCTGATGTCGGGTTGTGTTTCTTATGGCGCCTAAAACCGGATTTCCTGGCCGCCCCGGGTAAGTAAAGTATGCAGGCGAAAGAGAAGGTATCGTAGTAGTAAATGGTTCCCGAAGTGATAGATGGATGCATCGGGTGCTGTTGGTAGTAAGTAGTAGTGACCGGGTTGATATGATGTATATAAAAAGGGGGATTTCCAAACGGCCCGTAGTATACACAATTTAATTGTGTCTGTGTGTGTGCCTGAGTTGCAACTTCAAACGGTCTGTCTGTCTGTCTGTCTGTCAGCCTGGCAAAGGTGCAACTGAACGGTGAAGTCCATTATACTGTCCAGTGCCCTTGGAACGATAAGCAAGCACAGATCGGCAGGAAGATCAGGCAAGAAGAAATTTCCATTTGTATATGTACGAAAAAGAAAAAGGAAAAAAATGGGGGTCAGCAATCCAGTCAAGTATGTCTTGCGCCTGTCCCTGTTCACCAACAAGCGAACCGAGCAACAACAACAACATCGACAACACCACTCCTCCTCCCCCATCTCCCCCATCTCCCCCTCCACTACCTGGAAAGGGAAAGAAATCGACTCTGACCCGCCCATTGAAGTTCGCTGGGGCGCTGTACAGTACCCAGATGACTATGCAGCATTGACCGATGTCCATGCCCACATGGCGGTGAGCGCAATTGACTCGGATCTGGGCAGCAGCAGCAGCAGTAGCCGCAGCAGAAGCAGCGGTAGCAGTAGCCGGACGGGGCTGGTGCGCGTTGTGAGCTGGGCCAGTCTTGCTGGGGATAGATGTCGGTGGACGATGGAACAAGAACGGAGATTAGCGATTGCGAGAAGTGAACTGGCTCGATGTCAGAAAGCTTGGAGTTCGGAGCAGGAGTTGTGGTTAGCTCAAGTATGTTTTATCCCCTATCCTTCTCATCAATGTTTCAACAACAACTCTCTTGGATTTCTCTTTCTTGTGTGCTTCCATCCTGCTTGCTTCCCCGTCGTGAGACAAACAAACCTATACCCCTGTCTGTCTTGACTTTCACCGAACAACCCCTCCCCCCCTCCCCTCCACACCACCATCTCACACAATGACGGGACATGACATACAGTAGGGCCCTACTGTACCTGCATATGACTAACCCTTCCCACCTACGTAAACCAGATCGAAAAGTTGCACGAGGAGAAAGAAGCCCACGAACATTTCATTCACCACCGAGCAAAACAACAGGACGAAGAGCAGCAGCATTTTCGCAAATCCTGGATTCGACGAAAGTCTTACGAAGAGCAACAGCAGCAGCTCGTCCCTACTACGCAAAGGACTAATAGTCGATTGCGGCGGATACGGCGCATAGGATCATAGTATCTATGTCCGGGTTGTCGGAAGTATAGTGTCTTTTTAGGCAAAAAGTAAGTAGATAGTTTATGGAGCTCTCGACGTCATGATTGGCAACGACGTGAAACGATAACCATTTCTGACAGGTGCTTTTTTGTTGATCGATCCTTTTCTCACTAGTCAGGGTTAGGTGTTTAACATCACTTTTACGACTTCGCTTGTGTGTGTGTCCATCTAATTGCGATCAGCTCTGCAAGGCAACCCATTTGGAAAATGAGGAAGGCAGGAAAGATAATGAAGAAAAGACAGAAGGATGGAAGGAAAAGGGGGTGGACGAGAATCATGTCCATGATGACCTCCTGCATGAATGGCTTGAACTAGTTCTGAGGCTTGGTTTTGTGGGTTTTATTTTCGTCCCCCCTTATGCCATCCACTTCCTCTAGTCTTCGCTGTCGATCCAGCCGGCTGCGCATCTTGATCTTCCCGTTGTCTCCGGAATGGATTTTCTGTTGAGCAGGGAATTGAGCAAGGAAGGAGGATGAAAAAGGGAAAAGAAAAAAAGAAACAATGGAATCAAAACTTTGCACAAGCATGGCTTTTTTTCCCGGACCTAGGGGCGATCATGCTGCATGGCATGATTGGATGCGTATCGATCTTTAGAGTAGGGGAGTAGGGCATGGTGCTAGTAGTACTTACTAGTAGTACTGTATGCCTTTTTCTTTGAATTACGAGTAGGTAGGGCTTTAGGTACTATATGAAGTTTCTTCGAATATAGGAAATTGTCGTAGTATGGCCTGTAGATACTACATCGGGCAGGAAGAGTAGTATTTACTGGAGGCTCTGGGTAGATATACTGTGTTGGCTACAACTGGAGCAGGCGCGCAAGATAATTCCGCAAACTCCGCGGCCAAAATACTAATATAACCGCGCCACGCCATATGAAAATCAATGGCCTAGTCTTGTCATCCTGCAACAACCTAGCCTTGTCAAGTGAAGACACTTACTTAGTAAAGCCCGGAGCTACCCCGGCGGACCGGCGAGTACCGCGCGAGCCCCCGAGATAAGCAGAATGGAGTGCGGCGAAGATCGAAAATTTGGGGCTTGTCTATTTGAGACGTGCGGACAGGCGAACTACTGTACGTACCTTTTTCGTTCTCTAAGCTCATGATAGTCTCCATTTGGCGAACGTAAGTACGGAGTAGGCTACTGTGAGCCTTATTATAAGGTCGAGGTTCAAGTATGGATACAGTGCGCGGGCCACTTTGCCCCAGCCACTTGTTCAGGCTGTGTGTTGTTGGCTGTGTGGTTCTGCACTATTTGCACAGAGGTAAAAACCATTGAAACCCATCCGTATGATGGATCACATTCAAGCCTCCTTTTCATTCCATGGATGATTAACTGGACACAATGGCAATGCAAGTAAGTAAGCATGGGCTTATCTCGGGAGCCGTGACTAATGGCGGGATTTTCATGAGTAAACTTTGACTGTCCAACTGTCAACTGATAAGCTTGCATCCCGAACCTCCAGGGATGACGCATTGATAGATAGTCTTGTCTGCCCGATCCGGGAACCCTGGCTCGGACTTTTTTGCATGGTACTATCTTCCTTTCCCTATCTTTGGGGAGCGCCTTTTTTTTTTTTCTTCCCCCTTCCGTTTTTCTCATAGTGTCTCCGGATGTCGTGTATCATGCCCTCTTTAGCTTGTCTTGCGCGAAGTGGCTGTGGTGGTCTTGTGGCACTAGCTATGTATGATACTGTTAGTTATTATTGCAGGCGCCTAAGAGGAAAGAGATAGATAGTTGTCTTACTTTCTTTCTCGATCCAGGCCACGTCACATTGCTTTTTCTCCAAGAAGGATGAGCCTGACGATCTGCTCGATGGATGCAAGACAGATGATAGAAGAATGATGGCTCATAATGGGCTTGTTACTGATCAAATCGATAGGTGTTGGTGGCCATGGTGAGGCGATAGTAGACTTAGTAGTGACTTACTGTAGACAGGAAACAATGATGATTCCAAAGAAAGAAAGAAGTCCGGCATGACTCGAGACCCGTGATCCGGGAATTCAAGTCACGCTTTGGTCGGCGATGATTATCGCGTGGGTTGATTCTTTTCTGCATTGACTTCCTTCATTGGAAGGAGAGTATCGAGTGCACGCACGCCTTGTATTCCCTTCTTGTTTCCACCCCCGGCCATCCATCTTACTCTGGGCTCATCACTTTATCATTCTACCCAGCTAACTATCGACTAGCAGTTAGTTTCCCTCCTTCCGAACTCTAAGGACTATACTAGATTCCGCTCTCCTCACTCTAAACCCCCACTCCTTAACGGCTTTGTGACTCTCTTTCGCCAGGTTCCTCTCTGTCGGAGCCGGCCTATGGGGCCGTTGCCACGCTCTTGGAGAACCCCGGCCATTCATTCATCCTCTCAAGCTTCTCCTTTGGGTGACTGGGGCCCTCTAGGCTGGTACTTTGTACCATGGTCGACTTGATTCCTCGGGTGCACTTTCTTTTTCGTATGCTCGTTCCTTTTGCTTAGATGCCCGCTAGGAGCATGTGGTCCCATGTTCGGAATTGATTGTTATCACTGTGGAACTGCACCATGACCAGATGAAAGTACCTCTTTGCCTCCTCCTCCCCCCTCCTTCCCTCCTTTAGGTTTAATTTTTCCCCGTTCTACAATCCCGGAATCGACTACTATCGAATGGATCCTTTCAATAATACCGTGAATATCCCTTGCTGGGCGCTTGATAAGCCTCGTGTCCACCAGTGAGGTCCGCCACTCTCCGCTCGATTGTATCCCCCGATATTTAGGTATCCCCATTAGGTTTGATGTTTATTGATCTAATGTCAATTTTCGTTGATTACCTGGAAGACTCTAGTTCTTTTCCCTCTATTTGCAATATTGGTTTCAGGGCTTACGCTTTCCTCCCCATTTATACCCACCAATCCGTCTGTGGCCCGGACATTCTTTGTGACAGCCGCTTGCTGAAGCCCCGTAAAGAGACATGTCTGTCCTACTCGAGTCTGGCCAGGTGTAGGTACCCTGTGACTTTCGAAAACCCTTCCTTTCGCCGATATATTAGATGTCTGGTCCCGCCTGCGGGGAATCGCCTTCTCTTGGCCCGGATCGCCATGAGTTCGAAATGTCGGCGGCCATCACCTCACTTTGGTGGCCCGAGGATCGTGTGAAGGCCACCCTTTGTCCGGAATACGTCTTTAACGAGCTCCCTTCGAACATCTTGCACCGTCTCGTCAACCCTTTGCCTTGGGGAGAGGGTCTGACTAGCGAGTCCTACTTAGACTGGATCCTCGCCAAGGCCGGTAGACTCTTCCTGATCCTCGTGGATATCGGCATACCGGAACGCATCTTTGCCTTGGTCGATGAATCGCTAGATGACACCGATTTACCATTGTCGGCTCCGAGTACCACTCGCCTTCCTCTCGCACCCGAAGGGGACAACGCAGCTCTTGCCCACAAATTCTTTCTGGCTCAATGGCGATTCACTGTACGAGGAATCAATGAAGGCGACCATATCAAGTATACCCAGAATGAGGGTGTCCCGGTGGAGCTTCTTCGTACCGGAACGTCTCTAGTGAGGGAGGGCGTGGAGAAGGTTGTCCTAGCTGGCTCTAAGTGTCGGGTGCTTCTACGAACGCAAGTCTCTATTGGAGGCGCACCGCATTTCTTCGAGGAAAACGAGGTGCTGGAAGAAATTCGCTCTCTGAGAAGGCTAGCTCACGATCACGTCTACTCGATCTACGCCTCCTATTTTGTGGATACGACCGTTTGTATTCTCTTCTCCGGCGTATACGAGCGAACGCTCATGTCGTTCCTTACCGACGTGCCTCAGTCTTTTAAGCGCCTCGCCAAGAACAAGCGTCGAGAAATCTTAGTCAATTGGCCACATTGCCTGGCTAATGGACTGTCATGGTTGCATGCACATAGCCAGGCTCATAGCCTGATTTCTCCGTCGAATATCCTGGTTGACGCAGACTTTCGGATTTTCTTAGGCCAATTTGAAGCTCTCGACACTCTTCTATCCCCACTGAAGCCAGACGACGTTGAAACATATCAGTATGGTGCTCCCGAGCGATGGGTGCGCTCAGTGAGTATTCAGGACACAAGCGCACCAAGCCCCAACATTGCGCTCCCATCTGGGGGCCGTTCGGCCCGCAAGCAGACGTCCCGTCCGGCAATGCTGAGCCTATCTAGACTTAGAGGCTCCCAACCGTCAGACCATGATACAGATGTGCACGCGGAATCTGTTACGTCGCAGGGAACTGCTATACGCATCGGCCTACGAGGCTCACCTTCTCGGATATCCTTCACCAACTCGTCTTCCTCTGGGTCAAGCGTTGGGAGCGCCCGCAAGCGCGTGGTATCCTCTATAAAACGACCAATGTTCTATACACCGTCCATCACTTCGTCAAACTCCAACTCTTCGAGATCATCAAACGCTCCTTCTACTACATATGGCCAATTCGGTTACCCGATAATCGGTTCTAATGCTGCAATCGTCCACACATGGCAAACACGCCAGACAGACCCAGAAGCCTCGGACATCTTCTCACTTGGGGCAGTTTTTCTAGACATTTTCACTCACTTATGCAAGCGCAAGCTCTCTGCTTTTTCACACCACCGAGGGGCTAAGAACCGGACCGCTGGCCGTGGTGGCGGCGTTGCAGATTGTTCATTTCACCTCGACCGAAACGCCGGCCAAGTGAGCTCCTGGATCGCCCTACTGGACAACGATGCGAAGAAACACAAAGACCCTATTTTCCAGTCTGTTCGACCAATGCTCACCGTTGTGCGAAGCATGCTGAACAGAGAACCTATGAGCCGTCCATCCGCTTACCAGGTGGAGCAGCTTCTGGCTCACTCACTCCAGAAATTGGACGGAAGCTGTAGTCTCCACTGTACTTCCGACCTGCAATGCCACGCCCCTAGGACAAAAAACCCACTCCGTCTCGGCGCACAAGCAGCCTCATCATCAGACAGACTCGTTGTCCCGCGAGCAAAGCCACTAGGGGCCAGATCCCCGTCTCCAAGCAGTCCATTGACTGCAGAATTCTCATCTACTAGCTCCGGAGGACCCGTGAGCCTCCGTCCCTCTCCTTCAGCCTCTGCCTCGAGTTTCAGTCTACCGGATCAGCAATGGACAGACAACCATATATATAGCAGCGACACAGACCAAGAGTACGATAAATACAGCACTTCTTCGTCGCCTGTCCCTTGGCGTGATCCAGATCATGGTTTGAGCCCGGCAGCGCATAACGATCCGACATGGAATTACAGCATCGCTCTGGGGAAGCATTAGCCTTTATTTCATTATACCCGTTCCAGAGCGATAACCACATGGCTCTCCCCTTCGTCTCTTTGTATCATTGACATACTACCTTCTCGACCAACAACCAATCATTTTATCGTCGCATTCCTGGTGTCCCCTTCCACTTCTATATTATCTTGCACTCCGCACATACTTGTACACAACGTCATGCCTTGTACATTCTGGGCTTTTCGGGTTCTTCCTCTCTGATACTACTTCTTTCTCAGGAGACTTGACATCCTTTTTCCTACTTTTTACACCTTTCTTATATACTAATATGGCAGTCTCCTAACGATTGATGACGAATGAACGCTTGTGCTTGCTTTGGGTGATACCTTTATCCTTATATATTTTACCTTCTGTTTCACTTGTATTTAGTTTAGTTGTTTAATCAGATCCTATATCTCTCTTATGCATACATTTCCTCTAATGTACCCCTGTAGTGAGTGTAGATACGCGGAGAAGAAAAGATGGCATCGAAACGACAATAGATCTATTCTCATAATCCCGCCATGACTACCCAGTAGTTTATTCCCACCATTCATACCAATCCCCATCCCATAGAACACCTTTATATCATCGCCCCAAATCCATTCCTAAATCCCAATTCATCATCAGACCCGTCATAAAATAGATATCCATATCAAATACCAAATATGGAATAAAGTAATAGAAGTAGAAAGTAAATAAGAAAGCCCCAATGGTGGTGGATGATTTAAATACCCGACCACACTCACATGCATCTGCATCTGCATCCATCCAATCACCTACAGCCACCACGCCACGCCCCCAATAACCGCGCAAAATAGTGCAGATATATCAAGACGGAACAGAAAGCCACCGTTCCCAGCATGCATGGACAGAGCCCCGCTCGATGGGCTGTAAGCAGCTACCCCGCTTGGACCTGTACTTGAAGAGGAAGAAGACTGCTGACCCGATGAAGAGTTGGAAGAGTCTGAACCGTCTGCTCCTGACTCGGATGCAGTACCAGTGGTAGTTGCAGTGGCGGAAGCAGGCGAGGCAGCACCGTCACGTTGGCTATCACTAGATTTATCATCATCATCAGCAGGGACGAAGGCCTGACCGATAGTTGGGAGCGGGGCGGATGGATCAACGGCCCATCCACCGTCCGTGGAGGCAGGGCATTTCGGAGGGGAGATCGCAGCGGTGGATTTAACATAGTCGGACAGAGCGACGCCAGTAGGGTGGAGCGTAGCCCACTGGTTCTTGAGATTATCGAAGTCAGGTTGGATGGGAGTGGGTTCACCCTGACGAGTGAAGCCGTCCTGGACGACGAGATCCTTGGTAGCAGTCGGGGGAGTGTCCGCGCCGGGGGGACCATACTCGATCAGGCCGTAGTCATTTGTCTCCTCGATCCATTCGTAGATCATGGCGCCAGACCAGGTGCCCGACATGTGGTCACCGAAGATAGCGGCCTGGTCGGAGAAGGTGCGGGGACGAGCTACGTTGCATCCTGTTTCGGAGAAGAAGATGGGGATGGGGTAGCCGGCCGCTTGGTCCTGGAGGGACTCGTAGCCGGACTGCTCGTATGAGGAGTCACCGCACCATTCGTAGGCGTTGAGGGAGAAGAAATCGAGCCGTTCGGCGGGGTCAGAGCGACAGGCTAGGTAGTTCTGCAGCATGGGGCGCAGCTCAGCGATGTCAGCGGCCGAATAGCCGACTGGGATGGAGCGGTAGTGTTGCGCATTGCGATAGGATTTGATGTCGCGGGCTGCGGCTAGCACGTAGGGGGCGGCGGCAGAGCCGTCCTTGGTGGTGAGGACTTCGTTACCGACGAAGACAGCGGCGGTGTTATCGTATTTCTGGAAGGCATCCAGCACGGCTTTGAAGCTGTCGAATTGGGATTGGTCCCAGTGGGGGTCGTCCTGTGAAATGGAATGGAGTGGTTAGTATGGTAGGGTTTGTTGGCGGCCCGATACGATAATGGTCGGGTGATAGGTCATGGATGGTATATAGGACGTGGTAGTAAGTGCATACCTGAGAGATCGCGGTGTCGAACGTGTCGAGATCGACGAACAGGTAAATGCCTGCATCTGCGAAAGCTTTCATGCATCCGTCGTGGTTGGCTTTAGGGTCCACATGGTACACACGGATTGCATTGGTGCCCAACTCGGCCATGCGGGCGGCATCTCGCGTGCATTGAGCGGTGTCAATCAGGGGATCTTCGGGAATGAGTTGATAGGCGATGCCTAGACCATGGCGCGCGGGTCAGTGCGTGAGGAACTATCGTGGGTCGAATGGACACACGCACCTTTGATGTAGTATTGGGTGCCATCTTCATAGAAGAATTTGGAACCAACCGCCGAGATGGTTTGTATGGCACTGACGGTGGGGGCGTAGAACGTGTTGAGCAGCAACGAGAGAGCAGTTGCAGATGAGGACCAGCGTGTTTTGACCATTGTCTTCTCGCAGTTCGTGCACGCGGCTTGGCTCTGCAAAGTAATCGGCGATAGATCGGGTGGGTACGCTGCAGTAGGTCTCCTTCCGGGGATTCTGACCGCTATCCTATTCACAGAGTGATAAAAGCAGACCAAGTAGACCAGTCCAGTGCGTCGGTATCAATCGAGTAAGACGGAGTGCAGAAGAGAGTGGAACACGCCAGCAAAACTGCCTGCAGCTGTCTGGACAGTGAATATTGTAAAGTAGTCTGATAAGACGACCCAGGGAATGAGAGTGCAGACTCTTGCATAGACGAGAAAACACTCGTTCTAATATAACAGATGGACGAATAACTGTTGAAGTCATTCACCCCCCAAGGATCTACCAACCCATCGTCCTGGCGCCCTGCCATACCAAAGGTAGCGTGTCTTCCCTGGAGGAGACATACTCGGGAGTGTTGTTGTTAAGGAGCGTGACGTCAAAAAGAATTCTGCAGGTGCATCAAACTCATAGTGGCTCTGGAGTGTATGGGAGAAGGAGAGGCTGTCCCAATCTCCGGGGAGATTGGAATGCAGCACGATCGAAGGGGGAACAGCTTAATGGATGCCAGGGTGCATGGGATCGACAACATGGATTGTATTGTTTATGCAGGCATTGCAACAAGGTTGTCGCGAACTATGTGAGTACCGCGTCGGAGATATCTGGGACACCACATTCAATAATGTTTGAAATAAGCATTTCATCTGAATGGAACTCTGCACTTAATGTTACTAACTATGGGTACTCCGTTCACTGATTCCAATCGAATAACCCAATGTTTAGGAGTGGTTCTGGTTCCTGACCCGAAAAGGGCAATCCCCAGTTCATCACGTGATTATAGGGGTTGCACACAACAAAATGACACTGCTTAGTCATGACCGGTCGGTCCTTCTTGCAGGAAAAGGAGGAGGGAGAGAGACAAGAGGGAAATGAGGTAATAATTCCAGAATATTGCTACACAGTTAGGAGACTACTAATTTTGCTCTAGGGAAACTAAAATTAAAATAAAACCGGAATTGCAATTGAAATTGCTTGTGTCTCTCGCCTGAAACCTGTAGGGCAGGGCCCGAGTGGATACTAAAATGGTGTGGTAGGAATTGTGTGTCGCAATTAAATCATCGGGTTTGATCGCCTAGGCTGGACAGACGATTAATCTCTCAAACGATAGTGGCTAATAAATCTGAGGGGGGGGGGGGGGGGGGGGGCAAGAGAAGTTGGGTAAGAAGCTGCTATTAATATGCTATTGCTTTGGTAAATGGTAAATAGATGCTGGATATGCTGGGAACATGGGCACTGGGTGGACACGATCCAACGATGTCAGGAGGAACCTGGCCAGTTGCAAGCCATCGCCCGGGATTGCCCGCCCCCTTATTGCTGGAGGGATTCTCAGGTATTCTGCATTGGGCTCTCCGGTCTCGCCCAAAGCACGAGGAGCGATGGGTCTTGGCAACGATCGAGACCCTGGCTGGGCCCACCGCCTAAATAATTAGGATCATCTGGAGATGGGGTCTGTTCTCTGCTAGTTACCGTTACTCTTCTGCCGCTTGACGTGGGATGCTGCTGCTGCTACATACATGAAGAAGAAATATTATAGCTATCCCATCTGATTAAAGCATTTGAGTAGGCAACGTGGATAGTCTCCTCGTTGGACAAACAATCAATCGATGCCCCATCCTTCTTGGGGGTGGGAAAAAGTGAAGAAAAGGAGATGCAAGCAGAGAGTTACAAGCAATCGACTAGCGAAAGACGGATCGTCACCGGCTTGCGTGGATGACGGGGCCTCGTCTGACTGGGGCTTCCCTTTCCCGCATGCGTGCCATTTCCCTTTCCAAGGAATCTCCGCCAACGCTTTCATTTCATTTCCTCCTTTTCCTTTTTCATTTCCTGCTTTTCCTTTTTCCACTTTCCCCCCCTCCCCTCTTTTTTTGTTTTTGCCGTTTCTGACGTGCTGGGGGTTTAAACTATACTAAAGTAGATAATATATCTACAATTCCCTTTTGTCCCTCTCCCCTCCCCCCTTCTTTTTCTTCTTCTTCACCTTATCTACCTACTATCCACCCTTCTACCACACCCAAAATCCTCACCAATACTCCCCCCTCATCCTCGTCTATTCTGGTCTGGATCATGCCATCCGTGGTTCTCCCGTCTTTTACCATCGCCCTCTCTGGAAAGCTTCTCCGCCCGCTTGTGCCTCGTTTGATTGGCTCGGACTAGTCGTTTCGTGTTTCGCCCAAATCAACCTGTTGTCCCTCCCGGTGCAACGTCATCCTTATTCGCATATTAGTCGTCGGATTGCTATTTTTGTCCCCATCGCTATATATTACCGTCTCCATAATATATTCCCACCTCTTTCACTGTTACGGTCTACCCGGTGCGCAATCAAGCGGTTGACCGCAACATGTCCACCACCAGCACTTATTCCCCGTTTCGCATCTCTCCCCGCGATCGCGCCAATTTGGATCGCAATGAGGCTTTCAGGCTTGTGAGGGAGCATCTGAGGCGCCAGGAACTGGGCATGAAAGCTCCTAGGTACGTGTTTTCTTGCCCATCAAAAGAACCCAGGGTCAATTATCAGTAGCTAACCAGATCGGCTATAGCTTTTGTGCCGAGCATCGCCATGATACCCCCAGTCAAGAACAAGAAACCTTCCGGCTCCATCGCGATATCATCCACACCATCCTTCTCCCTCTCTTTCTGCTCCACCACCAAGCCTCGCGTATCGCAACCAATGTGCTGCCACGCTACAAAGGCGCAGAATGCGAACGGGCGTTCCGTGGTGAGGCGCGTGGTGCTTATGCTTGGCTGCATTCCATTTTGAGCGAAGAGCATGATTGGTATTTGACCGAACGCTGTCCCGCCTGTATCGTTCTGCACGTTATGAACTCGGAGCCGACCATTCGATTTGTCGCCGTGGCGTGTCTCCTGTCAGACCACTTGCAGGGTCTGGACCTCCCGAGCGCCAAGAGACGGCTGCCTAACTTCGACTTCTGGTACGAATCACTCGAGAATGCCGTTCGCCAGGATACGTTTTGGGGCGATGGCTTCTGGCCGGACATTGAATATCGCGCCTGTGCCTTGACCGATGGCGTGAAGCAGCTGGTGCTGCAGTGCTTGGAGCTGCAGGCTGCTCTGGACCGACATGACCTGCAGCCTGAGTCGTCGTACCGACCGACTCAGCGCTCTCGGAATGACTCGTCACGGCCGTCCGTTACGGTGAAGCAGTCCAGCTGCACGCAGCTCCCTGTCATCGACGAAGAAGACCAGAAGCTCTTTGCCAAGGCCGGCGCCAATCGCGGCATGCATCCCTGCCGCAATGAGCGGCCGCAGAGATTTCACGCTCGCCGCCATGGTGACCCTCGCAGAAGATCGGTGACATCTTGAGCGATCGCAGAGGTGCTTGTGTCAAAGCGACCAAGCTGTGAAATAATCTAAACGGACTCTATTCGTCGTGGGTCTAATCACCAACGGTCTGGACGCATCCTGCATCGGGATGGCCGAATCCGACGCCGACATCAGCAACCGGCGGACTGAAGTGAGTTGCAAGCTCATTGCAGCCACCTCAGTGGAATTGCCTCCAGACCCGAAGCAACTAGGTGCACACTAAGCCTAGACGTGCCACCGAAGTTTCGACGCCCCAGTGCTTCCTCTTGCAGAAACTCGCGGAAATCCCCCCGTGGATGTAACCTCGAGGACTGCTTCCGTGGAAATGCCTACCGGTTTGTATGCGTGTGTGGCTTCAGCAGAATGTGTCCAGATCGTGCAATCCTGCAAGCCATTCGCAGCAAGGGGGCAAAAGACGTGGTTCGGGGCTGAGGTTATTGTGAGGACAGCCACGGTTAAAGTGTGCGGAGGCAAATTAGCCTCACGAGGTGGATCAGCAAGACCACTTACGCTAAGGATGAGGTAGTTCTATCCAATTGTATATACCTTTGATAGATGAGAAGAGCAATACATGCACAAACACATATCATTAAACCCGTTTCAGTCATACATAGTAGAGCTGTAGCAGATAGAACACGACACAGACCCGCCCGCACACCTTAGTTATCCAATGTAAGCCAGCTACCACAAGCACAAATCACAAAACAAAACACGCAACTCAAGTCGATCAAGCACACAATGACGACGCCATGTAACCAACTACCTACCCAACACAGCTGGCTGGCTGGCTACCTACCTACCTACCTACCTACCTAGTTATCTGTCTGGCTAGCTGACAAGGCAAGGGAAGCAAGGTGGAGATTTTATGCATGTCTGTCTGCATGTACACTGCATGTGTCTTGTCTTGTTCAGCAAGCCTCTCTTCTGATAATAATAATGATAAGAAACAAACAATCATCTCATTGTCTCTCTTTGCCCCATTTTGCCCCTCTATTGGGTATCCGCTCTGCGTCAACAAGGCAAGAAAAAGAGAAACAACAACCACAAAGTATCTATTATCCAAAACAACCAATGAGAAGACATTACAAACAAACCTGTTTTTCTTCTGTATTTCTTTTTACACACAGTCCCCAAGCCTTTGTATATCTGAGACACGACGCAAGTGAGGTGGATTCAATGGTGGTGGTGATGGTGGATTGTGGGGAAAGACACGGCACATTCGTACGTAAGTTGGTTCACCACTACTATCTAGACTACTCGTTCGCTTTGTTTGGTTGGTTGGTTGGGTTGGGTTTAGTTGGTTTACTCCGCGATGGCGAAGGAGGAGGGGGATGGGGAGGGGAGGAGGAGGGGGGGCGTGATTAATGGCGGGCGAGCGGCAAATTCGTATTTCCTTTCATCTAGTATCTTGTAGATTGTAGGATTTGATTGGACTAGGCTGGACTAGTACGCAGTCGGTAGTTGACGAAATAGGCATCTGGTGAAGGGTTAATGGTATGTGTGGGTGTGGGTGTGGGTATGGATATGGCAATTATCTTATCGCATCTGGACTAGACCGGACTACTAGATTTGACTTGGATTTGGTGGGTTATGGGTATGTGGCACGGGATGGGATAGGGTCTCTGTCTGTCTATCTGTCTTATACGACGCTTTGCTATTACTCTACTCTAATCACTCGATTTCCGGTAGAGGAGATTGAAGGATGAGTCTGGTCTCATGAGGGAAGATCCTTTGATCTAGACTAGATAGATGTACAGGGTGGAAGCAAAATCGAAGACTGTCTGGAACCGTGGGTTGAGAATGGTGTATAGTATGACGGGTTGATCTGGGCGTAGTTTCTATAGAGATTAGTAGACGAGTGGTAATGGTAGGGAAAATTAGGTTGGAGACGGGTTACTTGTGTATGGCTGGATCTAATTATCGGGGGGAGAAATTTGGGGGATTGGGACTGGGGTTGAGATTCCATGGATGGTTGCGTTTGAGGTTTCTGTCTCAGTGTTATCCTTCTCTCCGTGGATGGTTTCATTGTCTATTAATTTATTGTTTCTCTTGTACACCCTACTCGGTTATAATGTAGAGTGGGGTATCTATCCATCCATCAGGGAATTAATGCCTGACGGATGGAGACAGGCCACGCCACCATACGAGTATCTTGTTACTAGACAGTAGATTAGTCCATCAGGCTGTGTAGGTAATGGTCTAGAACTGGGTCCGAGTCGGATGGGATACAACCCGGTGGGGATCACCATTATCCACTATTTATTTTGCATTCTTGCTTGCGATCACATCACGAGATACAATCTGCTGGCTCAGTCGTATACTACCTTAGTTGAGTGTAGTACAGAGGATGTTCTGGATCGTGTGTTTGTGTGCCGTGTATACTCTGACAGGAAGGGCTAGTAATTAGATGGACGGCATGTAGATTGTAGATCCATACATCGCATCACATCAGTCAATTTCGGGAAACAGGATAATAAAGGATCTAGGCTAGATCTGTTGGTAGATCAGGAAATCAGGTTTGAGAAGTCGCTTCACTTTCAAAGGAGATGGCTGTTGTGGATGGACGTGTATGCAGATGCCTTGCTCATAGTGATCAGAGTGATGAAGATCGTTCTCTTTCTGTACAGTTTTGGTTTGATTAGTATGCTATATCCCTGATATGAGTTGTGATAGTATATGCAAGCTTCTTATGCCGAAGATTGTGTGGATAGATAGTTAGGGTCCCCAGCTAGGTGACAGCAGTGACAGTGACAGCGACAGTGACAGTGACACCTGCCAGGCAGGATCGCCTCAAAGGGTCTCTAATTTCACGTACCGTGGAATAGCCCCCCAGTCGGTAATTAAGAAGTTATATCGCTTCCGACATGACGGAAAATAGCAATGAAGGCTGGACGAGGACCAACTAAATGAACAGGGCTTAATCGGTGATCGTGTTTGGGCTGCGTGCGAGGCCAAAAGGAGGTGAGGATGATTTCAGCCACTTACGACATGTAGTTGTCGTCGGCTATGGATACGTACAGACGGGATCGTTCCAATGGACTGGATTGGACTGGACTGGGCTTGAAAGTGGGGGGAGTGAGAACAGGAGGGAGGGGAAAGTAGCAGCAGCAGCAAGGCGTGGATAGACACATTTCATTTTTTCATCGCTCTTCCCGTTGTATGTACCTCTTGTGTGCGACTGCGGACGACATCTGAGGTCAGACGCCGTGAGGCTGAGATAAGGAGACAATTTTATTTTTGTACAGGGGAAATAAAAAATAGGAGACAGATAACTAAAGCCCAGTTACTTGTGGACGGAGTTACTCGATTGGGTAAACACATGGAGATTGTTTTCAGCATGCTCAGCAGCGCCAAAAGTACAAAATAAGCACACTCACTCCCTCTTCAGCCTCAGCTGTGCGCAGCCACGGGAGCCATGCCGGATCTACGATAAACCTGAAAGGTATGGTACCTAGCGAACTAATCAACTTAACTTCTCAGACTAACTTGCTCCCGCACCTACAGATCCCTAAACCAATTCTCTACTCTTGCCTGACCCGACCTACAGTAACCTAGTCAAGCCCAAGCTACGGCCTAATTGAAGTAAACCTTCGGTTAGAGGAGAAAGTCAGTTTAGTTTCCCTTAGGTAGTCTAGTCTACTCTGTAGAGAGGAGACAAGACAGACCGGGACCGCCCAGTGGCCCCCTCCCTCATCCATCAACCCTGTCTAATCCCAGAAGAATTGAACCTTATCCCGCCAATGTTCATCTCCAGGCCCATAATGGCCCATTCGCGCGCACACACAATAATTGACTTGAGTTTTTTTTTTTGTTTAATTCAATTTTTCCCTTTTGATTAATTTCGGACCACATAAGGCGGATCTTTTCGGCAGCACGGAACAAGGGTCTAGGCGTCAATCCGCCCGGAAGCGGCAGTGGGTTTCGATCGCGCCATGCAAGCAAGCCTTCTGCTGCCCGGGGAGGCCAATGAGGGTGGTCTCTGCGCCACGCCGAACCAGGGTGAGGACGAGACTGTCGACGTCAAGATTAACTGAAATTTGGGGGGATGAGCAGTTTTGAATTGCCGGTTGACCTTGGGACGGACACTGAGAGGCAGAGGAATTTGGCTTAGAGTTCCAGAACCATTTTCCCTTTTGCTTATCCTTGTTGGAGTTTGTATTTTATTTGATTATTTTCTATCTAGGTGATTCATGTCCTTCCCGGCTGGCTCAATTCATAGGCTCCCTCACCATCTCGCCCTATTCCGGTCTGTGTCTACTCTGAGTCATGCTCTACACCGTAACTATTTATTGTGCGTGGGAGATTTCTAAATCCAGCAATGCAGGATTTATGAGTGGGTAAGGTACTGTGTACTAAATGGTATAGGTCAGGTACCATTATGGGGAATGGGCAATAATAAAGAGAATAATGAAGAACTACTACCGCAGAAGCGTGGCCGGGATCGAAGATGCTAGCACTATCGCTAGACTAGTAGGTATGCGCTACCCACCTTATTGAGCACTGTTTCCCCTAGTTTGCTCACCATTGTGGTTTTAATCAGGGACTATCTTCCGGATAATCTGGGGGGCTTTTTGATGTTGTTCGTTACTCTGTGCCAGTGTGTACCCGACTTCGCTTCGGCTTTCCCGAAGGCTTCAATTTTCTGAAGAATCACCACTACAAATTATGGTAGATAAGGAAATTGGTGGTAAATAAGCATCGGAACAGACGGTGAAAAGCGAGATCGATAAAGTGATGCTGATCCCAAGTAATACGAGATCCAGAGCAGAAATCGGTTGTTGGTTACTAGTAACGGCCATTGTTACCAAGCGTAGGTAGGCAGGCGGCAAGAAGACAAGAGGGAATAAAAAAGCAAACCTCCTGATCAGTTCGCCCTGGTTGAAATAACCATGCTGCCTTTTTCTTTTTAATTCTTTTTAATTTTTACCCTTACTTTACTCGTACACAATGTGGGCAGTTTGTAGTACCTGCCTGACGCCTGGCACGACGGCCAGATCCACCCAGACAGACAAGTCGTCATGGATCAAGCTGGTCATTCATGCTTTTCTTTCCAGGGTCCAGTCCATTACATCGCTTGCCTTGTCTTCATTGCACACTTCTGGCTGCTGGTGCTGCTGCTGCTACAGACAGACTCCCTCCGACCGGGAAAGGCCAGACGGGCGGTGGGGCCCTGCTACTACTTTTTTTGGGGAGAGATGGGGGGCAAAACTAAAAGGTGGGCACTGGACACTGGTGGACTCTGCTGGAAGGCCCGTGTAATGCCCGTTACGGTATCGCTGGGCCTGTCCCGGTTTAGCTCCGATCAGCCACTATGGAGGCCTAGACGAGTCGGAGGCGTCTGGGCCTCTGGATGAGTCGGTTGGTCGGCTCAGTCCGCGACCTTGAGACTTGAGCAAGAAACTCTCTACTCCCAGTGGGAATAACTTGGATGTTATTGTATGGGATGAATAGCGGAGAGGATAATTTTTCGAGACAAACTAGCAGCCAGAAGAAAGGAAATCGCTAATAAGGGTAAATAAAACAATGCAGGTGGAATGCCGGCGGGAGCAGATGATAGATTAAAAGTGTCCCGTTTTATACACCTGCATTGCTCACCCGCTGACTGGCCCGACCGGGCGTCCTCGTGTCATGAATTCCCCAATCAGGCCAAGGCCGGCAGGTCTAGAACGCCGGTGGAAAGTCGCAGCCCGAGGGTCTTGGCTGTCAGTCTCTGCGTCTGGCCCTTGGGTCAATTTCCCAGGCGTCATGATCCCTTTTTCTGTCTGTTCTGTTCTGTTCTGCTTGAAACTGAACCGCTATTTTCCATCCGCGCCTAAACTTTCTCGACAGGGCCCGGATGGCTCTTTCTCTCGCTCTCGCTGACTCTCTTACTCTCTGGTCTTTCTTCCCTCCTTCAATCTCGCTCTCTTCTCCACTGTACCATCATCATCGTTTACCATTTACCTCTTCTCATCATCACACTTCTCCCATCTTCTCATCTTTAACCTTCCTCTTCTTCCCTTTTCCAACCTTCCCTGTCACCTCTCGTCCTTCTCCTCTTACTACTTCCCCCTCTTCCTCCTCCACTCCTCTTTTAGTGTCTCCCCGGTCTCTCTCTTAACACTGCCCGACCGTCCGTTTTGCTTTCCTTCCTCTAACCAACGCCTATTCGTTTCCCCCTCCCTCCCGTTCTGCCACCACTGCCACGCCAGCCAACTTTTCATGTGTTGTTTGTGTTGGTGACTTTCACCAAGCTACCCAACCTTTCACCACCATCACTCAATATCACTCTCCTTCTCCCTGGCCCCAACGTCATTGCCCCGGGTTGTGTCTGAGAACCTGAAAGTCCTTCGGCTGTACTTTAAACTTAGCGTACTCGTGGATATTGAGTTGGCTGGATCCGTCTCTTTTCGACGTCGCCTCCCTTCCCCGGCTCGCCAGTAGCCCAGCAATCGACTGGATGAATCCCCCACAGTGCCATGGACCATATCGACCTACATCTGTGGTGCGAGACAGCCCGGTCATGCGTTCGCCATTCTCAGCGTCTTCCTTCTCATCCACCTCTTCCTCAGAAGCGTCGGGGGAACCCAGCACGCCAATGAGAGCCGGCTCGCCAGCTGATTCACAGGATCCGCTCCAATTAAGCCCCGTCTCGCCTCTCAAGTCACACCCGCAACTATCATTATCACCATCGTCTGCCTTCCACCACAACCACCACAACACCGGCTCCAGTCGATTAAAGCGACGTGCCTCTCAAGGATCCCTTCTAACAAAGCCTTCTCCCGTCTCCCGTTTTCTCTCTCGCAGCAACGCTTCTCTGCACCTGCCATCCTTGGAAGATTTCGGCCTTTTCTCCAAATCCCCGACTCGGGCGGAATCCCAGTCCAATCCTTCCGACTCTCGTCTTCGCGTCTCCACCACCACCTCCACCGCATCGGGCTCGCTGGCGGCTCGTGCGTCCCAGTCAACCGCCGGGGTGTGGGAGACACCCGCCGCCAAAAGTGATTATCTCTCCGCTCTTCCCCCGACTCCCCCGGATGACAACGACCACGTAGCGTGGAATCCTTCATCCGGAATGTTGCTGTTCGAGTCGCATATGAACCGGGAGCCCGGGCCAATGGTCATGGATGAAGGCCCCAGCATCGGTAACTCGCCTGGTCGAACTTCGGACGGCCTTAGCAGCCCGTCCGATCAGCTTTCAAATGGATCGCCGTCAAGCTCTGGCGGTAGCCCCGGATCTTCCGGTGACATGGATTGTGATCACAATTCATGGCTGGAGAATAGTATCGAAGCATCGAGTGAGTTTCATCCGATCACGTGTTTCCTCCATGAGGGATTTTCTGTAAGAGCTGCTGGAAGCTAACTTATCTTGTGATAGTATCATCTCTTCCCCTATCTAACGGTCGCGGAGAAGCCGTGAAGATCGTCTCACAAATGCTTCCATACCCACGACCGGCTGATAAGTCCGCCCCGGTTTCAACACACGATAGCGTATACTGCGCCCTGGTCCATGCGATACAAGATCGTCTCCGTCATGGGCAGTCTCCATACATCAACATCACCCATGCGGTTCCCGAACAGTTCAGCCTCTCCAACTTACCCTCCTCTCCTCCACCGACACCTCGCTCGCTATTCTCCGGCGAGGATTATTTTAACCCACCGGCTGTCTTCTCCAGTGCAGCCGTGGTTTCCGCCTATCACGATTTCCGGGGTCCGATCCAGCCCAAGACGACGTACTCTCCGATGCCGATCGTGCCGCCGCACACTGTCCACGTTTCGGTCTTGGAGCGGTATCTCCCCCCGTCGTCCCCGCAGGAATATAAAGACATGTTCTCCCGGTACCGTCCGTCATTCTTGGTCGACCGACTGAGCGAGCTCTCGCCGGACGGCGGGTCATTATTGTTTGTCTACCCCACGAGGAGGGGTGCATCCACCTTCAAGTCGCAATACCTTGGGCCAATCTTAGATCCTTACTCCGTCAGCTTGTGGTTGTGAACGAGTTGTCCACCGACATTGGTCGTTATCTGGGCAAGCTTTCATCTGTCTCGCACATGGAAGACTTTGACACGATGCGGCAAAACCTCTCCCAGCTCTGTTGCGATCTGAGCTCCCCATCATCTCAGTTCAGCATTGTCGATGCCCGCAAAGGCAGTGCCCATCTGGACCGTGATCTGTGGACTGAGTGGTATATCCACCAGGAAAAGTCGCGTATGAAAGAGGTGCTCAGCGTATACTGGCAGAACGGCCGCCGGCTACCGGCGACCAAGGCAGTGTCGAATATGTCGACAAATTATATTTTGGAGGATAAAGAGGTGACTTCGGCCATGCTCTTAGGGGAGATCCTGGATGGTATCCGAAGACGGCCATATGGCGAGGATTCGGAGCCTCGGGATGGCGTTGAGTTGGGAGTTTTCGTGATCCGCCGGACTCACTAAGCACGGGTTCTGCAGCTGTGGAGCCACTTGCGGGAATCTCTCCGCCTCCATCTATGGATGCTCCATCTTCTTGATTATGCTTCACTTTATTCCTCTTTTTCGTTTCTTTGCTTTTAATATTTTCTTGAAGGATATATAGCCGTGTGATTCAAAAACGGGGAACTGGCGGGTCCGGCGGCGTCTGCGGAGTTGGACTTTGGGTTCTCGATCTTGCACGTTTGGGAATGTCTAGGGAGCATTGACTGTGTGCATTTGCTATTATCGGATGAAAATACCCAGGATATCTATTTCATGGCAGCGTGATGACCACTAGCATGTGATTACTACTATTTTTTTTATTCTTTTTAACTAGATGATGGAAATACATGATCCGCCCTTCAGAAGGCAACCCGAGAGGCAGCGATAGGTGACATCAGCGTAGTTGGTATAGCACAACAGAGCTAATCCCCATGCCTTCTTTATAGACAGATGGAAAGCACACGCCCAGTTGTCATCTCTTGTCATCTCTACAATTATTGAGAAAGAATACAACGATGTAGTCCATAAAAGTACTGTGTATGGCTTAAACTGCAGGCCGGGAAAACACCGACAGGCCGGGCGGTCAAAAATGTCCCCGAGGCTAATCCGCTTCGGGCCAACGGCCGGCCTCCCGCCTTCTGCTCTCCTCCGTCACTCTCCTCCTCTTTCTTCGCCTCGAATTTGCCTGGTCGCTTGTCATCTCCGTGCTTATGCAGACTGCCTTTCGAGCCTTTCGGTCTCGCCCTGCCTTGTTCCGGCAGCAGTTTCCTGCCAAGCCCAGCTTTGCTTCCCCAACTGAGCCTTCTTCTCATTGTCCTGCTCAACTCTTCGCACTGTTTGCCCTCCACTCCTCTCTCTCTTTCTCGCTCTAGTACCTCCGCCAATTTTGCTCATGGCGTACTCTCCTGGCCCAACATCCCCGGTCCACGGGAACGGGGCGCCCATGATGGCAAATAACTTACAATCTAGAGGCCGCTCCACCAGTCCTCCGACCAGCGTGCCGCTGTCGAAACGGGACAAACGACGCAGCGCGCTCCAGGAGCGCCTTCATGACCTCACGGCCTCGTTCAGCCAAAACAGAGATACCCAGTTTCGTCAGCAATTGCATGCCCTCCAATGCGACATGACCCTCATTAACAATGCCGATCCTTACGAGCCTGGCCCTCTCCCCGATTCGGCGGAGGATATCGCCCGCCTTATCGAGAATACCGTCGGTGGGGGCAAGTTCGCTAAGGAGATGGCGAGTTTGGCCGGCATGTGGTATTCGCGCTTCGTGCAGGAGGTAAATCAGGTTAAAGCGGAGAAGGATGCGGATTTGGCTATGTTGGTGGTAAGTTCATTTCAGTGTTGGTTTTTGATTTCCTCGCTTGGTCGCGGGCTAATGTTTATTTCCTTCTCCAGCATCGTCACAATCACAATCTCGAACGGTTCAAGCAAGAGTATGCGTTTCGGGTACACTTCGCAGAGGAAGAATACAATAACTTGTCGCTTACCCTTCGGGAGCGTCTTGTTCAAACGATTTCGGGCAAGAGGGCTCGCTTGATGCGAGAAAAAGAGCAGTTGGATCTGGCTGATACCAATGCCCTTCTCCTGCACCCCAATCAGTTTAGCATCACCAATCCGGCCAGTCCGGGTGGGATCCACGGAAACCGCAAGACCCGTCACACCCGCCACCGCGTCGATTTGGACGAGCTCGGCAATGGGATCATGTCGGAGCATTTCAATAAGCGCAAGAGAAAGGCGGCCGATGAGGATGTGGGCTCGCCTGTGCGCGAGACCAACCCCGCCGAGCGCGCCAAGGCCCAGGCGGCGGCGCAGCAGCAAGCGCCGTCCTACTCCATCAATTCTCTCTTCACGGAGAGGGAGCTTGGTGCTCATGCCAATGCTGCACACATTGCGACGGTTCACTTCTTCTCGACGTCCAAGCGTGCGGACCAACCGTCCGGAGCGGCTACAAACGGTAACAATACCGATGCCGACGACGGTTCGGGGGTGGACGGGACGGGTGCCGAGGACAATGGCACTCCTGCGGCCGATATGGCTCGCACAGCCAGTCAGAACTTCCACGCCACGCGATCCACGAGGACGCATGGTAACCATGCTTTGAACGCGCTGGCGGAGCTGTCAGACAAGCCCGCGGTGCGCCCTAGCCTCCCGTACAATATCCTGGCCAACTACCACGCGCGTTCAAGCAACAGCGGCGCGCCTCCTCTGCCTCCTTTGATGAACGAGGAAGTCGATGACGACTGGGCGCGCATCGACCGGTTGCACAACAAGCCTGCAGGATTCGTGGATCGCACGCTCGTTCAGCTCTTAGTTGAGACCATCCCCTCAGATGTGGACGGAGTGCCGCAGGACCCTAATCGGTTTAACATGCTACATCCCGACTTCCCCACCGAAATGGGCATGCATCTATATCCTTTACGGAAGGATAATGGCGAAGTAACAAGCAACGAGCGTTCAACAAAGAAAACCAAATCGGGCTAGCCATGTAGCCTATGCCTATTTTTGAGGGACCAACAATACCACAGGCGTTTAAGGCTAGCCATGACAGATGGCTAACCGGGGTAGGTGCAAACTGGATGGGTAGCGGGAGTACTTAACAAATACCACTTTGACGGGCGTTGGGATTGATTGACATTGGCTGCCTGCTTGTATGGTGGCATTTGCTTGGACGGAGCAAGAATCTCTTATCATGTCATCTATTTTTCCTTTTTTTTTTTTCCCTTTCCTTTCCATCAGTGATCTTCTCACCTTGAAATCTCTGACTTGATTGTTTACTAGAGTCAGTCAGTAGTAGTATACTTGTCTGAGTCTTGTGATTCTGCGTCTTTTGCTTTGTTTCGGACAGGATTCCTGGGGCGGCGTTGATTGATGATAGATTTGCTTGCTTGCTTCATTGGATATGACACGTATCAGGTAGGCAGTAAGTAGTAAGTATGATAGTCAGTAGGAAGGAATGAAATGAACTGTACATGCTCGCTGGACGTGTTTGTATTTTCTAACTGTGCCCTGCGGGGCTTACCCTTGGTTAATTGTAGCGTAAGTAGTATGGTGGTTACTTAATGAAATATCTAGTTAACTGACTAACTAGTGAGCACGGATTATTTGTAAGCGATTGCTTAGTTCACCTACCTAGTCAGCTAATTATACAGCCTGAAATCACACAGTTATCCAGCTGGCAACATTGAAATCAATACCCTATGCTTTCTGCTGATCTATCCTATATATTAGTATATACACTACCCCAATGTCGTCATTGCTATGCTGAGGTGGCTCAACACAACTCTACCCACCTATCTACCTGCAAAGCTACACTGCACCATTATATCCTTTTCAAAGGAGCACATGAAAAAAAAACAGCCAGTGGACATAGAACATACATTGCTTACGAGTTGCTCAAAGGCAACCAACACCTAACAACGACGATCGTTCGAGTGACAATGTCACTGAGCACAAACAAGCCAAATGGTCAAGACGGAGTGGGACTGGGAAACGATAGATCAGATTATCACTTTGAAAGAATAACTGTAGGTAGAACTTGGGAAGGAAGTTTGGAAATGACATCGGTCGAGTATATACTATAATGCTATCAGGGGGGGAGTAAGTAAATATAGAACAACTGGGGTCAATAGCAGAACGATTAACATAGCAAAGAATGAGAGATAGTTGAGTCATGATAGTAGAGGGGTAGGTAGGGCAGTTATAGACATAGTAACAAGAACAGACGTAAGAAGGTGAGCAAAAGCAGTCTGTAGTTTGATGATACTGCTATATCATCTTTGGTGGATTCTGCAAGGTGAGTATGTCTCTTCACAGTCAGTGTGTGCGCGCGCGAGTGTGTGTGGAAACCGTTGCAAAGTACCCAACTACATGAAGTCCTTTCCAACTCATCCTCTGCAGACGGCTTCTCCACCGGATCAACCACCAAGCCTCATTCATGAGGGGATGCGGACTACCCCAGATGCCCCCAATATACCGGATTTTATCCAGCAGAGCAGCATCGCAGCCACTGCTCAGATCTGCGTTGTAGGGGACATTTTCGGGTAGTTGGTTGGGATTTGGAATGGATAAGAAGGGAGTTATTAGGAGGACACCGGTCTGGTCGGTTCATATGTGGACGATGGGTGGATGTATGGATGGATACAAAGTGAAGATGGGATTCTGCAGGCACCGGACTCGGAGTGTGACTGATCATACCACTATAGAGATACTTATCCCAGTCCCTCGTGTAATAGAACTAGTATCGTGTGGTATGTCGTCTGTGGGCACGGAACATTCTATAACTGGTAGTAATATGGAGAGAAGGGTAATCAACTAATCTAATTATCAAATGCAGATGCCTTGCTAACTGCATTCCCAATCAGAACCTACGATTCGAAGAATCAGGCAAAGCAATTAAGTGGTATAGTAAAACAAGCAACCTGGTTGTTACAGGCAAAGCAAAGATCCTTTAAATACACCGGAACGATGACATATCATCGCAATTTACAACTCCAATCTGTCCACTCCCTCCACATCATCCCTGATTACAATTAGTAAATGCCCAGAAGAGCAGCAACGGCGATAGTCCACCACCTTCCTGAAGATTTCTGCTCCTTAGACCCCGTGTTGGACAGCACGGGTGTATGACTAGGTGATTGAGACGGTGTTGGTCGGCCGGAGAAAGTAGCGAGGGTCGACGAAGCCCAGGGGTTTTGAATACGGCTCGAGCTCGCTGAAACGCCGGTCGGTCCGCCTGGCACAAGGCCCACGGTCGTCTGGGTGCTTCCCGAGGCGGTGGTGAATACAACCTTGGGTACAGTCACGGTCCAGGTAGAGTAGGTGACGACGGTGGACGCGATAGGTGCAGCAGTGGCTGGTTTGGTAGTTGGTGCAACACCACCGGTGGTGGAATGGACCGCTGTACCAGTAACCGGAGCGACACCGGTGGCGCCAGCGCCGAGGGTGATCGTAGCTGGGATGACAGTCACGATGCCTGGGTTTTGCGGTACATACGCAGCGCAGATCCCGGTGAAGTAGGATAGAGCAGCCTGGACCTCGGCCTGGGAAGCTCCCCAGGCTTGTATGCAGGAGATGACCTTCTTGGTGAACTCGTCCGACGGGCAGTAGCAGCTGGCATCGCTGTTGGAGCTGCATTGGGGAAGCAGGTTCATCCAGGTGTTGATGCACTTGGGCACCACGTTGGGGCATGGCGCGGATGGGGCAGGCGTCGAGACACTGCTGGCACCTGTGCTGGTGGCTGGGGATTTGCCCGTGGGTACGACCGTGTTTGCAATAGTAGAAGTTGCTGTCATGGTGATCGTGGAGACAGTGCTAGTAACTGAAGTGATGGCCTTGCCACTTGAGGTCACGACTGAAGTCACAGGGAAAGTGGTCACAGTCTCCCAGGTCACAATCGTTGTTGTTCTCTCAGGCGCAGTAGTGACAGGGCCAACAGACGTCGGGCCGGCGGTACACTTGGGGCAGTATGTAGACACCGACGTCAATGTCACTGTCGAGATGGTACTAGTGACTGAAGTCACCGGCTTCCCGCTCGAGGTTACCACGGTGGTCACTGGACATGTAGTAATAGTCTCATATGTAACCACGGTGGTTGTGCTCTCAGGGATGGAGACTGGCCCGGAGGAAATGGGAGCAACGCCGGTTGGGCCGTGAGTAGAACTGGAGACGGCAGAGGTTGGTGCGATAGTGGACACCGAGGTCAGGGTCATGGTTGAGACAGTGCTGGTAACCGAGGTGATAGGAGTACCACTCGATGTAACAACATTGGTCACAGGGCAAGTAGTCACAGTCTCATAAGTGACAACGGTTGTGGTCCTCTCAGGGGCCGAGACGGGCCCAGACGAGATAGGTGCCACGGAAGTCGGAGCAATGCACTTGGTGCAGATGGTCGACGTCGAGGTCAGTGTGATAGTAGAAACGGTTGTGCCAACTGACGTAGTGAGTGAGCCCCCTGCAGACCCGGTGGATGTCACTGGGCAAGTGGTCACTGTCACGTATGTGACGACAGTGGTCTTGTCAACAGCAGGAGCCGAAGAGCCATGCCCTGATGCAGCCGGGGCAGTAGACACAATAGGGCTAGTAGGGACCGGGCTCGGATGGGACGAGGTGGACTCAACAGGAGAGCTACCAGATGGAACGCTAATCGACGTCGTGACCATCGGATTACTGGAATGGTGTCCTGCCGACGTACTCGCCGACGTACTCGCCACCGCAGAAGCCCCAGAGGTTTCAGTAACCGGGCAAACAGTAGTCGAGACCGCAATCGTAGATGTGACCACGGTGACTGAGTTTGCAGGACAATTCGTTACAGTAGGTGCACAGCTTGTGATTGTTACCTCCTTTGTCGTGTAAACAGTGGACGTAGTCATCCTGACAGGCGTTGGGGCAGATGTTGTAGCAGCTGCAGGCGATGAGGGTGGCATCAGAATCAACGGAGTCGACGAGCCACTTGACTTGGTTGAGGATGGCAGCGCAAGGGTACTAGATGGATCGGTGTCCTGGCTTGGCGAGCAATCAAACTCGACCTTATAGATACCCAGATCGCAGGTCTCAAGTTCAATATCCTCCTCAAGCCTGAAGCTCACTGAAACAGAGCCACCACACTGATCATTGGTGACATCTGTACCACTCGGAGAGCTGGAGACAACATCGTTGCAGGTTGACCCATCAGGCATGTTATAGACAATGTGGACGTCGGCTTCCCTGGATGTGGCGAGACGAAACTTGCTGACAGAGAATCCCTTCTGGTCTCTACCGGAAGACATCTTGAGACGTGAAGAGCTCCCCTTGGAGAGCTTTCCAACGATGCATTTTCCCTAGAGCCATTAGTTACGAGCCCAATTCAAGAAAGGTGTAATGCTGTTTGCTTACACTGGCGGAAGCGCCAAAGCTATCTTTCAAGGCAAAGCCTGAGAACTCAAACCCAGCATAAGCTGAGAAGGAGCCGACAGCCAGCCCAGTCCAGTCAAATCCAGTTTGCTGATCTTGGGAACAATCATTGTCGGCCTTTCCAGGACTGGTATAGCATTCATCGGTCCCCCACCACTATCTATGTTAGCCTTCATGAAGTCATGTACAAGAGTAAGAGCACACTCACCAGGCCCTTGGGATGAGCAAGAGCTGCAAGCGGCCAAAGAGCGACCGAGAGTAGGTAAAGAGGAACTACGGCCCTCATATTGAATAGGGCTCAGTAGTGTTTGAAGGAGTGTGAAGAATGTCGAATGAGATGCAGATAGTCGACTTGTTTCAAACCACAGCAGTTGCGGACAAGGAGACTTATAAAGACGACGAGAAATACGAACAGACCAACGAGTGGTAGTAGATGAACGAGCGTCGAATGTCAAGCCACTTGGGCAAACAAACAATAACACAATGACAACAGCAAGAAACAGCTTCGGGAGGAAGTAAGAGCAGCCAAAATATTCTGTTACCAGGGAGGGCGAGGGAACCTTAAAGTACCAACACCGGGATGGCAAAAGGCTGCCTGCCTAACAGCCATTGACAGTGATTGCCGTTCACCAGAAAAGTCTGATAGTGCAAGTAAAACAGCCCGTTGAGCATTCACCCTCCAACCAGCCAGATGTCCATGGCTGCACAGTCGGTGTTACAACAACCAATCCAATCCAGAGGCGCCGGGTGTGCCGCTAGTGCAGGAACAGGGTGAAGGACCCTGACAGAAGCGCGAGTTCATCGCCAATCAGAGGTCACGAAGGCTGACATTTGGCTCAGCCCACGAGATGTATCGGCCCATAGGGGAGATGCTGAAGAACCCTTTGTTTGCGAGTGAAAGAGGGGGCCCTGGGGCGTCGGTGGCTGCTCGTTGCCTGGCAGTCTGACGGCAGACTATCTCTACCTAAATCCATGGCAACAAGACATTCATCACTACTGTCCATGTATCCATCTGGCGACGAATGCGCCAGCACTAATTAGACATGAGGACCATGAATGATTGCGCCAAAGAAGCAGCAGACGAGATACATTCATCGAAGACGAGTCGAGTCGAAGAGGAGGAAAAAGGCCAAGCAAAAAGGGATCGATCATGTGTCTTTGGCACTCCCTGACAGTAAACTGTCCCACCTCCAAATGAGACCCTGAACGGCGCCAACGTTTCTTCTCCATGTCAAATGCCCAGTCAGTATCCAAATTTATCCATTCATATCACATCAGACATCCAGAAGAAGTTAAATCTGCACGCTCATCTCAAAGCGGCATCTCCGATCTTCAACACCTAAAGCTCGCTTGTGTGCAGTGACAGGGTAAAGTTAACCCGGCGTCTCGCGCTGAAACCTGACCAGTGAGTGACCCAACACCTTTTCCCTCATCACATTCATCGCTCCTCTGACAACTGCCGAGATTATCCATGAAGTCCCCATTCTAATAATAACCGTACTACTGGAAGAGTCCAGTCCACTCCAACCCGAACCAGAAAACACATACTTCAACCGATCTACAGCTTACTGGAGAGAGAGAGAGAGAGAAGCACGCATTCCCATTCACCAAGTAACCGCCGAGGCTTCAATCTAAGTTCCCCGACTCTAATTACCGCCACGCCACAGCTAGATAGTTGATGAAGAAATCAAGGAAGTGATAGCCAGGTAGGCTCTGGTTAATCGACGTAGACTAGGTGACCTAGGGAACCCCAGCGCCAGAATACCACCTCGGAATCCAACCTTCAGAGCCTGGGCCACCGCCTCCACATTCCACTAGAATTCCATACAAGCCCCGGACATTGGGGGTCTGGGTCGGGGTTTGGGTCTGTGATGATCATTGTGATAGAGCATGCATGCATATATGCTGTACAATCTAATTTCATGCGCTTACATGGAATTGATTGATTGGATCGGACTTCAGCTGGATTGTCTCCACAGGAGGTGGTTGTGCAACCTGCTAATCGCTCTTGTACAAAGCGATGACGAGATAATTACTACTACACCCCTGGCGTGTCGCACAATGGCTCTGTCCAACCATCACGTTAGGGGTCTTGAGGGGTTTCGTTTACTTCTGACCCTTGGTATGACTTGCATAAGGTGGTATTGCTTCATTTCCTTTGGTTTGAGAGCACCCGACGCAGGTAGGAGTTGCGAGAGGCAGGGGCAATGTCATCGTCAATGGCTTAATGGCTGCCTAGAGACACTGGTTACTCGATACTACGTAGGAAAATTAAGAACTACGGTTGCTAGTCTGTTGCTTAGAATATTTTCATATTTGCATTTCCGTGTGCTTAAGACGCCGTAGCAGTGCATACATGTCATCAAACGGAGAAAATCAAGGTAGGACAAAGAAAAGCAACAGGTCTTCGTAACACAAGGTATATCCTTCGATCAACTCCAGAAATCAAATGTCATCAAACTCGAACTTTTGGCCATGAGATATCCCCCATCTTTCCGACCAAGAGAAAGAAGACCTAATTCTGTCGGAGAGAGAACCCATGCAGAACACCGCGTTTGGTAGAGAACGAGGCTGGATCAACCAAGCCACGTTCCCGATGTAACAAACGCATCATCGTCTATGCTAGAAACACAGACTCTAAATCCATGTACAAATGTTCAATATGTCCTCGGAATTAGCGGAAATCCAGGCACGCTATGTTCGCCTCAAATCAGAGATATCAGGGTATCGCGCAGTGTCAGGTAGTATTTAGAAAGGAAGCTGGGTGTGGCGGTGGGCGTCCATCAGCTTTCGTCGGACCGCCTCCCCGCCGTTGTACCCACTAGCTTTGCGCTTGCGCGTGGGGGTGCGTTGGTCTGCATGGCGTGCATGCCTGAAGACGCTAGCGGGGCGAGAAGGCGAATTGGCCGGCATAAATTCCCGATGTTGTGGGAGACGCAACAGGGCTTGGTAGCGGTTGTGATTCCGGCGGAATGCGGTAACGATGCCACGGTCCAGGTGATTTAGGAATCGCTCCGCACTGCTGGCCTGCTGGGAGTCAGCACCGCGATTAGGGGTCGGCGTACCCGTGCCGGCCTGTAGGGGTCGGGCAGTCATTGGCGACATCAGCGCTTCTTCGTCAAACGCCTTGTCCATTTCGTCATCAGATGACCCATCACCGAAGTCAATGAAGTCTTCGACATTCAAAGCCGACTCCGGATCATCTTCATCATCGTCCTCGAAAGAGCTATCGATAGCAAAGTCACGGGACGGATAGAACGCCTCGGGCGGGCCCATTACCTGACCACCCGGAGCAATATCATTACCAAGAGCAGTCATCATAAGATTGGCACTCGATGCTAGCATAGGGCTCAGATCAGCATGGTTGGGCGACGCGAGGGCGTCCGTGTCGCTCTCGTCAATAAGATGCATGGTAGTAGCCCGCGGGCTGTTGTGAGCAGTATTGCAGACACTGTTCGTGGCAGATTCAAGCCAATCATGGCGAGAAGAAGCATAGGCAGGAATGATCACAAGGTGCTTGCCAGTGCAGTCGACAAGTGCAACAGGTTTATGAGGATCGGCGACAAATGTCCCCATGATAGGTCCTCGCCGACGAGAAGTGGTTTCGCTCTTCTCATCGCCTGTGGGCGCCAACGAGGCCGAAGAATCACGACGCAGGATAGATCTGGGATGAGTGATGGTGGCAGGAGGAGGGAGATCTTCATCTGTAGTCTCGCCATCATCGGCTTCAAACGTGTCAGTAAATGAAATGTGCGGGGTTGACCAGCTGCATGCATACTTTCATAGCCGCTTGACTCCGAACCGTCGGAGATGGCATCGGATTCCACGTGATAAATATTAGAATGCCCATAGTCTGACTCGGCATATATCTCCTCAGATTGACGCCGGCGGCGGGATAAATTTTCATTATCATTGTCGATCATGCGACGCAACTGGGGATCGAGACTATCCTGCTGGAGGAAATCACTTGGGATCTCATCTTCAGTATGGGAATCACTATCAGACGAGGAGTCTGAGTCTTCCTCGAAATGCACCCGGCGCGCCACCGGGGTCTCAATAGCAGTCTCGCTAGCCATGTCAGTCTCCCCAAAGGCTTCCATGGCAGTATAAAGCTGTTCTTCATCAAAGAAGGACGCAGCCGACAGGATCATATGATCGTCGAAAACATTGGGACCGGCCCAAGCATCAGCGCCGGGAGCAGCCAAGATACCACCAACAGGGTTTTCATTCTCAGATTCCACAATCAACAACTCCTCCAACTTCTCTACATCCTGTTCCTCATCATCTGAGCCATCGCTGATATAGTCCACAGCGGCATAGACATCATCGGAGCTTTCATCGGATTCATTGTTATCATCGCTACTCCGTTGGCCATCGTAGCCGTCATCGTCGGAGAACTTCATCTTTTTTGTCTTCTTTTGTTTGACACCCGTCTTATGGGCCCTGTCACGGCGACCATAAGACGGGCCACGAACAGCGGGCTGTTCTTCTTCGTCATCTGCATCATCATCCTCGGAATCATTTGCATCATCGCTGAGTTCGCCAATGGATGAGACGGATGACACGCTCGAGACGGAGGCCGCTCTTCGTTTCCGATCAGCGTTCAGAGAACCGAGGGAGACAGCTTTATTGGACGTTCTCGGGGAACGACCCGCGGGGTTGTGATGGGTAGCCTTTGCGACACCCTGGGGTGACCGCTTCGGGGAGTGTGTTGTTGGCGCCATTATATCGTCAACAATAGGTATTGTGATATTTCTTCCTTGGGAGAGGTCTCTCAGTCCTATCGGGACCGACAAAGGTTAAGAAGCACTTGTTGGTTCGACAAAGTTTGCTACCCGTACAACCCGCCGCAATGAATCGATTGCGTCAGCGACTTGAGAAGACAGGTTCAGGGACCGATATCGTAAGGTAGGAGTTTTTCGGAACGTAATTTCGTAATGGCGTAGAGGAAGGAAAGGATGTCGTGATGGATGTTATAGACAGCGTGAGAGAGATCAGGATGAGTGGTGGTATATCGGTAGGGGGTGGTGATCGGATAGAGGGGAGGGGAGGGCAAGAAAAAGGGACGATAGCAAAGACTTTTCGTAGACCGCAAAAGCACCTCACCGTCCAGAAAGGGACGTCAAAAGTGCTTCTCCTGTAAGTGTACTGAGGGGCAATTCCGACGCTTGCCTATTGTTGCGTCGAAAGAGGAACAGATAATCGTCAAGTCAATTGGAGATTACTCGGAGCTGCTGGACTGGGGAGCATGGAAAAGGCAGCCGTGCCCCCCAGCGAGGAATCTACAGCTCAGCGAAAGCCATCCTGGCGAGGAACCCTTGACGATATCTGGATAGTAAAGAGGAGAATAAGGGGTCTTTTGAATGTGAATAGAAGGTGTTGTGAGAAGAGTCTGCGACCGAGAGTGGCAGAAGAAGATGAGGGGTGGAATAGAGGGAGGAAGGAGGAGGGAAAAGACAGCAGGGGAGAAGATCATCTATCCGTACGCCGTCGTACCGTGACGAGCAGGTTACAGGACGGAACGGCCTTGGATTGCCTGGGGCGGGCCAAATTTTCCAGTCAGGGTGGAGCCCGCCTCGGCCGGTCGCAGTCTGCGGGGTCATGATTGGTCAGGAACCACAAAAACAGTGACGCCCATTGGCGGGCGGGTGTTCACCGCATCTTTTTTCTTTTTTCCTTTTTTATTCTTTTTTTGCCTGCAATCCACCCCAGCTGGTCTCTGCAGTGGAAGCCAATCATTCGCGGGGGACTTGTAACAGCCTCGAATAGAAGGCGACAATGATATGACCGGTTTAGTACCACTTAGTCACGCCCTGTCCGAAGAGGCAACAGAAGAAGTAATCTCCGTCTGGCTCTTACCTCCTTTCACTTAGTACAAATCTAGCATTATTTCCATTTCATATGGACTATGTATAGCATACAGTCTCGGAATGGGCTACGGCATGCACTCCGGCACGTCCCGGTTGTCGAACGAAGACGATCCTGAGAGCACTTGGGTAGTCTTTTCTCGTTGGGTACCTGAAACTGCAGATGGCGTCGACGGATCTTGCCATAGAAAGGGATACTATTATGGGGACGGAGACGGCAAATGGGAAAATGAACGGCGCCTTGTGGCTAGGAAGGAATCCCACTACTAAGTTTCTGCTTGCCATCTATGACTTGGCCCGCTGTTCCGCCTGCCTAGTACTAAATCACCGGACAAATCATGAACAACGCTGGCGACGGAGTCACCCGAGGATTGAGCATCGGTGACTCACTACTGTTCTGAGTTGGAGGCATTCATTCGCCTCCAGACGAGCGTTATGTTTGGAAACTCCAGATGAAATCGAATCTATCCAGGGTTGAAACATAACCATATGGCGAACCGATGCAGCATCCCTACGTATTCCCCCTCTGTTCCACCACTGACATACATTCTACAGACTTTACTTACACAGTATGTAAGTAAAGGCAATCTGTTAGATCACAGGCATGCAGGCAAGAACGCAGATCGCACCCGAGGCTCTGATAAAGAATGAGGGGCCTTCTTTTTCCGAAAGTCGTGGCATGCAAAGCGGGCCATACTGTAAGAAAGGGGAGAATAAGCAAATCTTACAAGCCAAACTCCCTGCCGCTAAAGGAAGGGAGGACAACTTTCTGAACCGTGCCCTCTGCACGGTGACATCTTCTCACATCATCTTGATAATAGCCGTCACTGTCTCGGCTAGATCAGCTGGTCCATGATTCATCGAATGCACTGCACTCATAGGTATGATTCATCAAGCGTGCGTCTAGACGCAGGAAACACGAGTTGGCTGCCGGATGGCCTGCACTCCTCTCTCAGAAGGTCGGGAGTAAGGGAGGATGACATGGATGGACCCGGATGGCTGGCCCTGATGGGCCACCTTACCGGATGAGGTCAATACCACCACTCGGATTGGCCAAGCCCGGCACTGGCGGCTATGCCTTACCTGATATGGACTAGTCTGTCCATGGGGAGGAAAAGATGCTGCCTCGCTGGTCTTCCTTGCTGCTCACAGTAGACTGCAATGGGCACGTTGATCGATTCCTATCTTTCGCGACCCTTTACTTTACGAAACTGGTCTGTCGTAGAGTATATATTACCAACAATGAATGTTTCCTTTTGAGATATGGCTACCGTCTAGCCGTTCGGATAACTAAGCCAGCTGTCAGTCATACTTACAGCCAGTATGTTAAACGTGAGATAGCCGCCGAACATCAACACGGTTAACTCAATCCCCTTTCCCCTGAAGGTACTTCCACAATCTTCCTCCTCAGGACCCTTACCTGCAACCATCAATTGCTCCCAAAACACCACAGACACAGGATCCCGATCCTTTAGCATGGGTATCCAGACGCACGGATAGATGCGACAGAGCCTCGGTAGCCGCGGCTCAAGCCTAGACCTCCCGCCTTGGGCGGGTGCATCAAGTTGCAGCAGGCGAAAAATCCACCAGAAGATCAAGGCATAGTAAGTTCAGTGAACAGCACAACATAGGGGTCTCGAGCGTCAATTAGACCAACAACGCAGCGGCTAATTCTCCGAGATTGCCGTTGCACCTTTACAATTCGAGAATTGGGCTATCTCCAGTATCTCTGATTCCCGTCCTGTATACACATCAACTCTTCTCACAGATAACTCATTGAAAGTGACTAGTTACTTAGGAAGATATTCTGGAGATCTAACAACGCACGTGATAGTACTAATTCCCGACCGGATCGACTAAAATAGATCAAAGTGGAAAGGAAAAAAGCCACCGCATCAATAATCCCAGGAGGTCCGTGACATTTTCGGCATCATCCCGAACGGACTGGGCTGGGCACTACTAGAATACCGTGTACAACTATCGATAAAATCCAAGGCAAGTAGTAGGTAAGCTGTCTCGGTTAGCCGTGAGCTAGGCGCTACTATTGCTGGTCCGTTTGCGTTGATTATTGTTCAGTATATTCACTTATTTAAGCAGTGAGGAAATCAGTTGTTGTCTTTCAAGAAGAGGAGAAAAAAAAATCACACCATACTATCTTACTATGCCCTTCTATGAATCATTCATTGGGATAACCAAAGATCAAATAATCACCCATGTCCCTGAGCGCAGAGAAAATGACAATGATGATCTAGTATGAATGCAAAGCACCACACCACTTCTTCGAGACAGGTACATTAGTCTCATGTTCCTTTTCCTCGTTGGCCTAAGAAAGAGGGACATACTCGGGCATGGATGATGGATGGGAGGGGGGGGACTAGTAGCGATGCCTTTGGCATTCATACATGATGCATGCATGTTGTAATTGGCTCAAAACAAGCGGTAAAGGAGAGGGACAACTGGCTGCTGGAAAGTCAGCCGGTTGGGCGGTTGGATGTATCGAGAAACACCCTACGACTACGTACGGGGCCGGCCAGCCATCCAGCCAGCCAGCAACTTGTTTCACTACTACTGCTAATATTCATTGTTGTTGCTTGCGGAGTAACTTCGTGCGACTAAAGCAAGATTTCTGCCCACATGTGAAGTGCTGGTGGCTACTGATAAAAGTTGGTTATATTGCTTAATGTAGGTGGATGAAATGTGCAGCGGGAAATGGGCTGATAAGCAGCAGTAGCAGCAGCAGGTGAGGGGGACCTACTGTAAATTTTTCTTTCCATCAATACTTACACATAGTATCATCCCTCGTGGCTCCATCACAATCCAGATTTATGTACATTGAAACAGTGATACATAAAACCCCATTGTCAACTATTCAATATTCCCTAATCCACTACTAAGGGGCAAAAGAGGGGGGAACGTGGCCTTCCATTCCATTCTTCCAAGATTCTAGTGACCTGACCCAGTTATCGTTATCAAGATTGGGAAATGAGCGATAGTGGATATTGAATGATGATGCTGCATTGCCCACTATTGTATGGTAACAGTAATACCATTGCATACGGCTAGTCCACGTCGAGCAGAATACAAAGTGGGGCCAGATTATTCAACGATCGGCGCCCGTTGCAGACCCCATTGGTCAATGCGTGGCTACTTTTGGCTGTCTGATTGGCTTGGGTGGCTGCACCCCGCAGTCTCGTCGATTTTCTGGCAAAGCAAAGCAAAGCTCGTCGTCCAGCACAGCTGAGATACTATTTATGTGCCATGACGCTGTGCGAGGTACTTTATTGTCCACTAGAGAGATACTTGGTTGCTGGTGATTCGAGTGGAATCTACGTCCGTATACTACACAGCGGTCTAAGCTCCTGCGGGTTGCAGCCTTGCCCGGAAAGGGCGGCTAGACGGCAGAACTTCCAGAAGGGGACCGGTTGGAGGACATGATGAAGTATCTGAGATGGATGTTGCCACCCGGTCTGCCCACAACTTGCCCGGTCCGCGCTTCAACCATGGGTCGCGTGATGTTTGAGGTAGGCTAAGTGATGTTTTCATTCAGTCTCAGAGGACAAGTGGCCGAAAGACATGGAATTATTAAAAGTAGATCCTGGGGTTAAAGACGAACAAAAGGTATCAAAATGACGTTAAGTTAAAAAGCAATTGCGCCTCTCCAAAAGCGATAAGAGTGTCCTGCTCATGTACCTGGGTAGGGTTCAATTTTCGGTCCTGCCGGTGTCGCTTTCTGGTCCGACCTAGGCCAGATTGAAAGGATGGACTTGGATCGTTTTGGCCTGGTAGAAATATCCTCCTTAGGTTCATTTTCCTTATCTTTTGAATCATTCGTAGTTGTGGCGGCCTCTCGTGCTTGT